GCGTACTCGAAGTCAGAGGCGATCTGTTGATCCGTGCCTGAATTCCTGGTAGCAGTTGCTGCTGCACCAGTGCTGCTCTCTGCATGGTATTCCTGTGACTGTGAATAGTCATACGGGCCACTGGGTCCTGCACCTCTCATATGGCTCTGGTGGTTGCTGTATGCTCCTTCCAAGATCGATTGGTGTAAACCCTCCTGCAATTGTGAAATCCTACTTTTTTAGCCTTTTTTTTCCTTCTTTTCAGTAGAGACTGAAATCCTACTTCCTAAGCTACAAGAACGAAAGCTACAGAAATGATACGCAGGTCAGAAGAAACAAAGATACAAGGCTGACAGAGACGCCATGTTTATGCAGGATTGTGCTGAAGAGCTGAAGGCGAAGAAGGGGCATGTACCTGGCCAGGAAGAAGATCGGCAAGCACAAACTGGAGCAGCTCGTCGTCGAGGTCGTCAAGGCTCACCTCTGCCACCGTGCTGCGGGTGGGCGAGTTGGCGTAGTGCACGGTGACCCTCCTCAGGGCCCCGGACTGCCCCACGGTGGCCATGATTGGCCGGCCACCGAGACAAGCGTGAGCCGGTTACCTGCAGGCCATGGCACAACATCTCTCATAATCAATTGGGACCGAGAAAGTCTCTGATCAGCAGGAACAAGAGGTAATATAACCACCTCCGTAACAACTTGGTTGATGTGAACTGTTATAGGCCTAAGCCTAACACTAGTGATTTTAATTTGGGAAAAAACTTTTTTTTTTGAAGGAAACTCATCCAAATCTCTCATGTTCTTATGAATCATGCAGTGTGCATAGCTGAATTTGCAAGAAAAAAAATCAAAGAAGAAGGCACTCAAGAGCCAAGAACATGGAAAGACCGTACCGATGAAGCACAAATTGAAGAGCAGAATCGAAGTGCGAAAACAAAAAGGGAGATCGAAGGAAGATCAAGAGGATGGGAGAAGGATGCTTGGTGTACCTCTGTTTGTGTCTCTAGTTGTTTCCTCTCTTCTCTCTCAACTCAAGGTTTGTTGAAGGGATGGATGCTTTGTTAATGGGAAGAGTGGGTGGCTGCCTCAGTGTTTACATGTAGAGACACACAGGTCGCTCTCACTGTCTGTTTTTTAATATAATTCCATGGACAAAGAAACAACAGTGTTTGAGCTTTTATACGTTCCGTCCTGACGAACTTCTCATTGTCTCTGAGTTTGATTTTACCAATCACAGTAAAATCTTTTCAGTGAGTTTGTTCTCATCCTAATTTTGACTTGCCTTGCATTTTCAGTTGTGGAATACTCCTGTCTGTCCGTTTATTTCTGGAGAAAGGCATCGAATGGCAACTTCACATTTAGGAACCTTTGGTGATGCCCTTTTTGTTTTCTTTTGAAAGAACCAACAGCATGTTCGGTTGGCTGGTTCGTTTCGTTGCTGGTTCGTGAAGAAGTACTGCTGCCTGGTTTGTGTGAGAGAAAAATAATGTTCCGGATGAAAATTTACGATCGTTTACGACAAGCCACAGCCAAACGAACAGGCTGCAAGGATTTAACCCTGGTTGGGGCGTCAGTGTCACAACTGATAGCACCACAACTTCATTGCTCATGACAACTCCTTCATTTCTGAAAAATAAATCACAATTACAATAATTCAACATTCTTTTGTGAAAAAAATACCTGATCTTGAAATCTCATCCAATCAGATGGTGAGAATGGATTTTTTTTTAAAAGGCGGGCCTGGTGCAAGCGGTAGAGTTTTACCGTCTGTGACCGGAAGGTTCCGGGTTCGAGTCGCGGTCTCCTCGCATTGCACAGCCGAGGGTAAGGCTTGCCACTGATATTGCACAGGCGAGGGTAAGGCTTGCCACTGACGCCCTTCCCCAGACCCCGCACAGAGCGGGAGCTCTCTGCACTGGGTATGCCCTTTTTTCTTTATTTTTTTACTGAGAAGACAAAAGTTTCTGACGGAGATTTTTTGTTCTTTGTTTCAAGGGTGAGTCACATGCACTGTTCTTCCTCCCCCTCCTTTGCTTGGCAGTTCCAAGTCATTATCATCCATGACTCCATCGATCGCGTCATCCATGACTCCATCGATCGCGTCGAGAACGTGTGGACACTTGCATTGCCGTCCATGTGAGCCGTTGCACTTAGTTTAATTTAATGCATCATTGTTGAGTCAAGGTCTTCTGCGACGACGACACTGCAGACAAAGAAATACTAAAAATAAAAACGGACCACTAAAAACTTCTGAACCAAGCACCGGTAGCAACTGTGAACTGACCTCACCTCAGACAATGTGGCTTGTTAGCACAATCGGCGATGACTCGGAGTCTTCAGAAGATGAAGACCAAGACATATCTTAAGCGCAATTGTCATCATGATCGCCATAGGAATGGTTAATGACAGCTGGATCTTTTGAAACTTGTCAGTTAGTTCTTGGAAGAAGGACCCCAATATGGTTGGCCAAGCCCAAGATTTTGTACTTCAAGCATGATGTCTGTTCATTTCTTGCAAACTAATAATGTCCAAGTGCTTCAAATCATAGAGCGCGTTTAATTTGTCGCGCAGCAAATCTTGGTGTTTGGTGCAGGAACCTTCATCTGAGATTCTCAGATCAGCTTCTGGTACACACAAAAGAAGATCCTAGCTAGTGCCAACAAGAAGCAGATATAGAAAACCCTCCTTGCTTTAGACCATGCATGTGTCCATGTTTAGCACAACAAATTCTTGGCATCCACTGATGAAATGATCTGCTCAACACACACACACTCTCACTAGTATACTAGACCAGTGACCAGTGGTAGTATATATGTGTAGGAAGGAATCTATTGACATGTTCCAGCCGGACACTGAATTATCTTTACATCAGTAGGTGGCAATCCCTTTCAATTCCAACGGCGACATCTCATGCATGCCTCTGCCCTTCATAGTGCCTACCATCCAATCAGTGTAAGACACGGCGGTGGTGGATTATCATGTGGTTAAGACACCGACCACCCTACTACTGATCTCTCGCCATTACTCACTGACCACGACCTCACACACAATCATTCTGTCAATTTCATCACACGAAATTTCCAGGCAGGATCGCTGCACGTCAACACGACGTGAATGCGAAGATTGGCCACCAAGACATACATTGATACATGGAGGCCAAAGACTTGGAGCCAGTCAGGTCAACCATAAAGTAGTGCCGGCAGTTGGTGTTGCCAAATTGATTAAGCTTCTCTGTTCTTAAAATAATCTGGAGAAGGATACAAAGCAGTGTACTTTGTACTACCTGATGGTGTCATGGAGATAACTACAATAGCACAGTACTGTGTAGTAACCCAAAATTTCAACTCAAGACATGGACAACTAACTATAAAGCAGTCTACTTCTACCATACATCTAAATGTCTGATTATTTTAGATAAATATCTGAATGTCTGATACATGGGTCAGAAGATGAGCCTAATCCCATTTGGCTTCTGACACTACTATTTCCACAGGGGAACAAGCATCTACTTTCTGGTGTCTCCTGATTTCAGTGCGTCATCAAGCATCCAGAGCACTAACTTCCTGGATCAGCCAGCAATAACTTCCTGGATCAGCCAACTTTTCAAATGCAATAGGACCAGACACAAAATCATAGAGCTGATTATTTCAACAAGAGAAACAACGACAAAAGTAAAAAGGAAGATGTTGAGTCATGTTCATTTCGTCAGCATTTACAAGTCATGTCAAGCATCTAACGTTATGATTATGCTCCTAATTGTGAAACTGACCCGGTGAAATTGTTCTTTTTTCCACAAGCACATGGCGATCTGAACATTGACCAGTGTCCTTCTGGAAGTGTCCTACCTGAGCAAATCTTTCTGCTTGTTTGTGCCGGTACGTTCACACCTTAAGCAGCAGCAGTCATTTTCAAGTTTGATGGAATCCAGACTGATCCATAGTACAAAAATGAAGTTTTTAGCTAAAAGTTGTAAACTCGTTCAATATATGAGCCGCCACTAAAAGTTGTAAACTTGTTCAATATATGAGCCGCCGTTGTACAAAGGAACTAAGGAACACAATAAATCCAATGAAACATGACAAAATGTATACTGCAAAGGCGGAGAGCATATCTTTTTAAGAAAGTGGAGGACAAATGAGGCTTCTTATGTCTCCCATTCGACAATTTCATGTTTGACTTGCTTCCAGGCTGCATCCAATATGAGGGTGATCACGAAACCACGGCCCAAAGTGCTCTATAGAGGCAACCATGAGAATACGATGGGCACAAATATGACGCTGATCATTCCTGCATCATACTTCCAAGCAATCTCATGCACAACCCCATGGTTTGAAAGTTCCTCTATGTCTTCCGCGATGAGCTGCCATGGCAAACGACGAGGTAGTAAGGTAGTTAGATAAATGCATCAAAGCAGAAAACATACAACAACAACGACGACGACGACAAAGCAGAAAACATACACTGCATCAAAACTAAATCACTAAAACATATAAGCTTTCTCTGTAATAGTTCTCCAGTTTCTGTTTAATAACTTGCATGTCAGATCCAAATTTCACAATTTAAAAGCAAAGCAGAGGAATTCACCTGCAATTTTATGTTTCTTTCTGCCTAGTGCTCTTGCACCTCTGAATTGTATGAACAAGAGAAATAACCATTTGGTATTAGAGGAAAATCCATTGGTATTCAGGCGGTGCATTCACTTGATAGGTCACGTCTTCTGTTGCCTCCTTGGTGTATCCCTTCGCAGTTCAATTTAATATGGAGGATCAGAGCAAGTAGTCCGTGATTTTCTCAGTTTCTTCTCCCATAAAAGAGAGAAAAGATGGTGACGGAAAAATTAGCTTTCCACTTCTGAATTTTCCAAGTTGACAAGTTCCATGGTCAGTGTGATGCTGTCCAGGGTGTCATATACCATCTTGTATCTTGGATGCGACTTATCCTCAACCAGGAACGTGATCAATCTCAAGTGATTTTCTCAGTTTCTTCTCTCATAAAAGAGAGAAAAGATGGTGACGGAAAAATTAGCTTTCCACTTCTGAATTTTCCAAGTTGACAAGCTTCATGGTCAGTGTGATGCTATCCAAGGTGTCATATACCATCTCATATCTTGGATGCGACTTATCCTCAACCAGGAACTTGTGCATCCTACCATCTAACTCAATAAAGCTGTAACCAGCAGATTTCTTGTGATCTTTTTCCTTTAGCAACTTCCATACCTGGGCAACACCGTCCCATTTGCCATGTGACGCGTATATATTTGAAAGGATCACTAGGTTTGCTGTATTCTGCGGCTCCAGGTGCATTAGTTTTTCCACTGCTAGTTCCGCTAGCTCCAAGTTGCCATGGAAGCTGCAAGCTCCAAGCAACGCTCCCCAGATTACGGCGTCAGGCTCCATTGGCATGCTCGCGATCAGACTGTCAGCTTCTTTTAGCAGACCAGCACGCCCCAGCAGGTCAACCATGCAACCATAGTGCTCGATTCTTGGCTTCAGACCGAACTCCTCTCTCATTGAGTTGAAGAGCAGCTTGCCTTCATCCACCAAGCCTCCATGAGTACAGGCCAAAATGACTCCAACAAATGTAATGCCATCTGGTTTAGCCCCTGTCATCTAAAGAGAGTAAAATCAGCTCTAGGTTTAGCAACTACGATGCAGTAGTAGGTAATCTGGATTTAAGGTTAAGGTCACTAGTTTGGTGCTTGAAAACATATTTGATTCTCTAGGCCATCTCTGCAACCAAGTTCGCTGCAATGCAATGCAATGCAAATGGTTGAAGTAATAAGACCATTAAAAGAGTGCAAGCAAGAAATCCTCACCCTCAATTTATGAAACCAGCCCAGCGCCTCCCTCCAGAGTCCATGCACGGCAAACGCCATGATCATCGAGTTCCAAGAACAAAGATCCCTCCGCGTCCCGATGCCCCGAAACACCATCCAAGCCCGACGAATGCTGCCACACTTGGCATACATCTCAATCAAAGCATTCGCGACATAGACATTCCTAAACATCCTCCTCCCCCTCGCGTACCGCTGCACCTTCTTCCCCAGCGCCAAGGCCCCGACCGCGGCGCACGCGGGCAGCACGCTGCTGACGGTGACCTCGTTTGGCCGCACGCCAGCCCCCTCCCACATCTCCAGGAACGTGCGCACGGCATCCTCGTGCCTCCCGTTCTGCGCGTACCCCGACACCATCGCGGTCCAGGAGACCACGTTCCGGTCGGGCATCGCCCACCCGCCCGCCGCGCGCGCACGCCGACAGCAGCGCGTTGCGCGCGGCCGCGTCACTGTGTGGCAGCTCGTCGAACACCAGCCGGGACTCCACCAGGAGGCCGGACCTGGCGTAGGAGGCGACGAGCGCGGACGCGAGGTAGGGGTCCCCGGACGACGCGGCGTGCCCGGACTTGGTCAGCAGCGCGTGCGCTCACGCGGCGAACCGTTGGGTGGTGGAGGAGGAGGACAAGAGGAGGGTGAAGGAGAGTGGGGTCAGGAGGCGGAGGCGGTGCGCGCGCGCGAAGCAGGGGAGCAGCAGCGGGTGGCGCGCAGCGGCCAGCGCGTGGAGCAGGCGGTTGTGGAGCGGTGCGGAGGGCGGGGACGAAGGGTAAGAGTCGATCAGGAGCGCGGCGTAGCGCAGGTCTCCGGCCGCGAGCACGCGCAGGAGCAGCGGCTGCAGGCGACGCTCCCCGCGGCGGAGCAGGCGCGCGTGCAGCCGCTTCGCTTCCTCCATCGCCGCCGCCGTTGGCGGGGCTGAGATCGCGCGTGGATGGGTTTCGCCAATGGGTCTCCTCCTCTGCGTTTCCTCATGGATGGATCATCACGTTGGTTTTGGGGTGGGCCAGATAAGGCCGAGTCCGAGTGCGCGCCTATTCGGGTGTCGATTACGCACCGAGATCGCAGTCCAGCCCATGTGCTTTTGAGTGGGCCGACAGTGTTGTACGGGCTGGATGGTGGCGGGCCTTATCGAGCTTCCTCGACGACCACAACTCGATTCTACCGGCCTGGTTGGTGTAGTGAGTGGTCTCGTCGGCGTCTTGTCCGCCGGCCCACGGCGCCGGCCTCCGCTCTCACTGTTGCCGCTGGCCGACCACCGCGACCTTCGAACCAAGCGTGTATGGCGCCAGCGTTGCTTGCCCGGTTCGCTGATAGCTCCGTTCGACGGCATGCAGCCTGTTCGGCTGGTGCTGGCTCGCTGGCTGGGCTGGCCAGCCCCCTCACGCGGACACTGTTTATATAAACAGTGTTTTCTAATCAGAACAATATTTTTCTTTCACACAAATCAGTCAGCAGTATTTTTTTACGAACCAACAACGATACGAACCAGCCAACCGAACATGCTGATGGATGTTTGGATCACAAAGATGGTATATTTGTTGGACCACAAACTCCTTGGGCCATGGGCCTCGGCAAAGATTAAGACGTCCGAAAGGTCGGATGTCTCGCTCCACTCCTTGCTGCATGTGCCGTTCGTCTAAGAAAACAAAATCAACTCCAGCACGTCCAGCCCACCCCGCCGAGATCCACGGAGCAGGAATGAGATTAACTCGATCCATGGAGGTGGCACGACGGTGTTGCATGGGAGTGGATGGCTCTCCTCGCCCCCCATCTCCCATTGTCGCCGCCGAGCCAAGTTCGGTACTGGTGGCGCTGGTGGCGGTGGTGCTCGTAAGCCGCCGCTCGCCGCCGGCTCCGACCCCGACAACTGGAATCGACCGGCCCAAGCTTCACATCCCCTATGTTGCAAATATATGTTTCAGTCGTTTTAAAGGTATGTTTTTTGACAACAATTTCAAAGATATGTTGCAGTTGTTTTTTATAGATGTTGCAAAAGTAGATTGGGGGATGTTGCATTTGTTTCAGAAACATGTTGCAAGCATTTGTTCAAAATGTTTCATCTATTTGTAGATGTATGTTGCAATCGTTTTTATCTGGTTGTTGCATATGTGTTTCACACATATGTTGCAACAATATATTTCAAATGTTTCAGTTGTTTCAGTCTTATGTTGCAGTAAGTATTTTTTTCATGTTGCTATCTAGATGTTGTATATGTTTCGCATACATGTTGCAAGCGTATGTCCCAAATGTTTCATCTGTTTTAAATGTATGTTGCATTTGATTGTTTCTTGTTGCAAGTGCAGACTGCCGGCGTTGGTGTTCATGAGGGTGGAAAGGGCCAAGCCGCGGCCACTGACGCGTGGAGGAGGCGCAGGGCACCGCCGGCGGTGTGGGGAGGAGGCACAGGCCGCGCGGTGCTGTTGTGGAAGACGGAGATGAGTTTTCCGGGCGGCCTGGAAGAGACGGGTGCCGCGCCGGTGTGGTAGAGGTCTCCGTACTTGTAGAACCTTGTAGAGATTCCTTGGGGTTCCTCGTTCTACTCTTTGGATCCCCTCATTTGCTGCCACATCCCAGGCCCTATCTCTCAGATTTGTATCTAAATTCAGTAGACTGGAGGGGGTGTGTGTGTTAACAGATGAGTGAGGGTGATGGAGAGCAACTGGACTGTACCAGCTAACAATAAAATCGAAAGCCTCTTCAATTGAGGTTCAGGCTCAACGAGGTCTTGTTTAGATTTAGCGTGTAAAGTTTTAGAGTGTCACATTGGATATTATATGTGGATGTCGTATGAGGTGTTCGGATGCTAATAAAAAAACAAATTACAGAATCCGCTAGTAAACTGCGAGACTAATTTATTAAGCCTAATTAATCTGTCATTAGCACATGTGTCACTGTAACACTTTATTGTCAAATCATGGGCTAATTAGACTTAAAAGATTCGTCTCGCAAAGTAGTCGCAATCTGTGTAATTAGTTATTTTTTAGTCTATATTTAATACTTCATGCATATGTCTAAATATTCGATGAGATAGGACGTAAAGTTTTGGGGAATGATCTAGACAAGGCCTGAGTGAGAATTCAGAGCCAGAGGGCAGTGATGATACAGCAGCTAGCACACAGGCAGCATATCTAATCTACCAGGCTTCGCAGGTAGGAGTAGTGCACAATAAGCAAGGTCCCTGTTTATGTTCATTGCAGTTGCTGGCTGGCCTGGAATCTCATCTCGATCGTCAAAGCACAACATGCAGCAGCAAGCCAGCAAAGCAGAGCCCTTGAGGCCTTGACCATTCGTCAGCTACCACTAGTACCGTACCGGCAGGGGGGCCCAGCCGCTTGAATGCTGCTCCATCCCTGATGGCAACGAGGAACCGTCCAAAAGGGAATATTCATCTGCGTTGCTTTCTTTTTTTGAAACTCATCTGCGTTGCTTTCATACTTCCTTGTCAGAGAGATCCGGTGGACCTACCTGCCAGTGACAGAGTCGCGGTGACTCAGGCACTCGGCTACAGAGGATTACTCGCTCTCGGAAACGGAAAGCAACAACCTTTCCTTCTCCTGCGTGCGTGTTCAGGAGGAGTAGCATCGGGGGAGAAACCAAACACCAGACTAGCAGAGAGAAAACATACCGTCAAATTGGACAAGTCATTCAAGAGCTGAAGAGCTGGTACGGACGACGACTCCCCAGTCCTGAATCGGTAGGTCCATTGAACCTGGCCGGGAAAATGCAGTTGACGTGGACGAACGTGGGCACACAAGTGGCAAATGTCCATTTGCATTGCATGGAATTGCAAATAAACCACATGCACATGCATCTCCCAGTCCCAGATACGAAACGCTACATGCTTAAACAGAACAGGGCAGGCAGACAGATGAGTCGTTGGAGGTAGTTGAGTTGAATGAACAAGAACAAGCTGCCTCGCCTCGCGCGAGGAGAGGACAACAACAGCATGTAGCATGTCGTCACAACATGCATGTAGCATGTTCCACAGTCATAGCCTTGTCCTCACTTCTGCACGCTATATATATATATATATATATATATATATATATATATAAAGAAAAATAAATAGAGACCTCGTATATGTATTTCGATGCCCAATTTTTAGGTGGCGTGGGGATCCTCTTCCCTCGTTGACCCTACAAACCAGGCCAATTTTAAGTGGCCAAATTCGCTTAAAAATCAACTTATTTTGCGGGCTTGTAGACATTCCCGCTTAAGGTCCACGCTGTAATCCATTGTGATAAACTTTAAAAAACTATACTATACTAGAGAATATGTCTGTATATTGCAACGGGAGAGAAAAACCCTAGCATACCCAAACCCAATAAACATTAGCCTTATTTTTTTATAGGAATTAAGAAACATTTTTTTATAAGAATTAAGAAACATTTTTGTATAATTAGGTCCACAACTTAAAATTAGTTTATCACCAAAACTCTCCATTCAGCTCATTCCTATACATCCTAATGACTTGCTTAAATTAAAAGAAAACGAAAGACAACTTCGTAAATTGGGCTGCATTTATCCCAACCTCAAGCTCTGTTCGGCAAGACTTATTGCGGCTACTGCTGATTTGTAGGGTTGATTTGTTGTGAGAGAAAAATACCGTTTTATGGCTGAAAAATAAGGCTGATTCTGGCTTATAAACTCAAATGAACGTAGCGGTACCTAGGACAACAACAAGCTCACGGTAGGTATTCTATCCTAAATGGACGGCTGTCAGCAGTGACCAATAACACACAGCCGTCCAACTTTGTACCATGATCCAAATGACATCCCGTTGAAGGATTGAAGTAAAGATGAACGCAACACTTAGAAGAGACCTCCTCAGGGCTTCCTGTTAAATTTTCGTATTTGTTACGAGCCTTTTTAATAAATTTAGACCATCAGATGAACATAAAGGCTATGTTCGTTTCGCTGAAAAAACAAACCGAAACATTGTTCCGGCTGATTTGTTGTGAAAGAGAAAACAGGCTAAAAAAACAAGCTGAAAAGTACATGTTATAAAAGAAACGAACAGTGCCAAAATCCAAACAGTATTAGAGGAGTCTTGTCATTGAGTGGACAGACGACGCAGGAGGGGTTGGAGCCCACTTGTCATTGAGTGGAAGAGGACGACAGATGGAAACGATACTACTTTTAGTATTAGATAGATATATAGATATGTTGTATAGAGATGAGGTATCAAATACAACTTTTTTTTATATATAAAAAAGTCTAAAGACACACTAACACGAAAATAAGTGATCAGTTGGCACGCAGATATTTCCACAAACATCCCTGTCCCACAAAATTGCAGAACAAAACAGTGCGGACAACTACGGGAACATCAGGAGTGTGTGACCCCAAAAGGCCAAAGGCCTGGACAGGTAGGCACACATGCCACATCCCCCACCAGCAGCTACCATGGCATCCTCTCCACCTCCTCCTCCTCGCCAGGAAGAGGAACGGGAACAGGGACAGGGACGGGAAGAGGCGCACCACCATGGCGGTGGCGGCGACGACGACGACCAGATCACCACCCCGCTCCGTAAGCATCTACCGTCCGTCCCCGTCGTATCATGCACCACCCTTCCTTGTCGGCTGTCAATCGTGTTCATTCCTAATGATGGTCTATTGGTGCAGTGGTGGAAGCGACGACGTCGACGTCGCGCAGCTCGCCGGGCGACGAGGACTCCTCCGACGACTTGTCGGAGGGAGAGAACTCGCCCATCGAGGAGGTGGCGCTGACGGTGCCGGTGGGGGACGACCCGTCGACGCCGGTGCTGACGTTCCGGATGTGGGTGCTGGGCACGGCGTCGTGCGCGCTGCTGTCGTTCCTGAACCAGTTCTTCTGGTACCGCAAGGAGCCGCTGACCATCACGGCTATCTCGGCGCAGATCGCGGTGGTGCCGCTGGGCAGGCTCATGGGCGCGGTGCTCCCCGCGCGGTCCGTCCTCCGTGGCACGCGCTGGGAGTTCTCCCTCAACCCGGGCCCCTTCAACGTGAAGGAGCACGTGCTCATCACCATCTTCGCCAACTCCGGCGCAGGCACCGTCTACGCCATCCACGTCATCACCGCCGTCCGCGTCTTCTACGGCAAGAACATCACCTTCTTCGTCTCCCTCCTGGTCGTCCTCACCACCCAGGTATTGTGTGGCGTCACGCGTCGCTGTACACGCTCGCCGCCGGCCGGTGCGCGCGGGTGCACGGAGAAAGCGGTTTGGCGTTTGCTGCTAGCTACCTTGCTTCGTGTTGCGTGCCGTGCGAGCCTTCACTGTCTGTCACGTATTCAGCCCGCAGCCTAAATCAGCCAGCCAACAGTGTTTTTCTCTCACAAAAAACCAGCACCAGCCAGTCCAAACCAGCACCAGCACCAACCAGCGAACAGGCCCATTGTGTGCACGCAGGTGCTGGGGTTCGGTTGGGCGGGAATATTCTGGCGGTATCTCGTGGAGCCGGCGGCGATGTGGTGGCCCTCCAACCTCGTGCAGGTCTCCCTCTTCAGGTATTCAACTCCCAACCCACCCTGCCTGGCTCTGGCTGGCCTCCATTCTCCGACCAACAGTTCCAAAGATATATAGGGTACATCTAGCACTACCGGAAACAGGCCCGTTGCCAAGAGCCAGCGTCTTTGCCGAGAGCCAAATGTCGTGCTCTCGGCAAAGAAAGGTTTGCCGAGAGTCGGCCCTCGGCAACGGTAGGCCGTCGGCAAAACCATATTTGCCGAGGGCCAGGCCGTCGGCAAAGAATTCCTCTTGGCAACCGGGCCCTTTGCTGAGGGTCCGGCCGTCGGCAAAGAAAGGCCGTTGGCAAAAGTTTATCTTTGCCGAGGTCCGGCTCTCGGCAAAACATGGCCATCGGTAAACCTGTGACGGCAGGCAAACGGCCTTCACCTGCCGTCTGTTTTGCCGAGGGTTAGAATTTGGCCTTCGGCAAAGAATTACTTTGCCGAGTGTCATTTCTGTGCCCTCAACAAAATATATTTTTTTTTGCTTTTTTTGCTTCCAAATTTTTTCCCTGGGTTTACTGTTGTACCTTAAAGTACATATTAAAATGTGGAGCTTTTTTTATTTTATTAGCTATATTTAATAAGTTTATTTCATTTACTTGAATTCTTCCTGGTAATTCAAATTTGAACTGCAGGTGCATCGAATATTGGAATTGAGTGATTCAAAAAATCATATTCATGGTATTGCATGTGGTGTGAGACCGTATTCAGTGACAGATGCCAAATTTGGCGCATCGTTTTCACGGAACACGGCGAGGAACTTGCGTGTAAAGTATTTTTAAATTATATAAAATGGAAACGAAGTCCGAAATTCACGAAACTTATCGAGGTGTCATTTCATCGCATGTATAGGTTGTGATAAAAAAATGAGTGGGTTTCGAGCAAGTTGCGACGTCCGATGCCTAAAACCCAGACATCTGCGCATGTGATCAACTGTGTCATTTCGAGCAAGTTGCGACGTCCGATGGCGGATATTATCAACGCCGGCACCAATGTGGATGTAGATGACACGAGTCAGTACTTTGCTGATTATGAGGATATCCTGAATATGCCGGTGGTTGAAGATCAACAAATTGTCGTGCAAGAAAATACTGGCGAGGTATATTCGATTATCTATCATCTCTTATAGATGCATGCGTACGTATATTTGTTGTTAATCGTTGTGTTTCTACTTATGTAGCCGGTCTCTGGATCTACATCAACCACCGACAAAAGTAGGAAAGTCCGAGGGCCAAAAAAGCCATTAGAGGGCCGTTTCATAATATCAGAATTCGACACCGACACCGGCAAACCATTGGGACCACATGCTCAGACATATGTCAATCAATGTGGGTTCATTGTAAGGGATAGGATCCCAGTTAGTGCTCGTGAATGGAAGCAGAAGATATCCGCTCCTAATGTTAGTTTTGTATCTGATCGTGACAAGAACCTAGCTTGGAGAGATATCACTCAGCATTTCACATTACAAGCAGATGATGCTTTGAAGGAGCTAGTGAGGGATTGGACAATGAAGAAGATGGCAACATTGTTCCAGAGTTGGAAGAAGACATTGTATAAAAAGTTTATCTTGAAGAATGCTACGCCGGATTTCAATGCTAAGGCGTTTGTCAAGTTGGAGTCCTATTGGGATGCCTTCGTAGAATACAAGACATCTCAAGACAGTGAGGAACGTGTGATGAGGAATCGGCAGAATGCCCGACAGAAGCAATACCATCATCGCATGGGATCAGGTGGTTATAGGAGTGCTATTCCCAAGTGGCAGAATCTAGAAGCAGAGATTACTGCCAAGGGAATCATACCTGAAACAATAGAGAAGAACTGGCCTCAACGCGTGAAGAATTGGTTCTACGCTCATGGGGGAAGCCTAGACCCAGACACTGGCAAGCTAATTTTCGGCCAAAAATTTGAGAGAGCAACACAGAGACTAGCTCGTGCTAGGGAAGAAGCTAATAGTGGTGTTTTCAAGCCCAACAGAGAGAAGGATGAATTGACATAAGCCCTAGAGAATCCCGAACACGGTGGTCGAACAAGAGGCTATGGGGTGGTTTCGTGGCTACACGCATTTCCAGCAGACAAGGATACCTACAGAAGCCGCCAGAGAAAGAAGAATGAGGAGGCAGAACGAATCCGTGCATTGGAGCAATTTGTTGATGAGTCATGACAAACATTGCTTGAATCACGTGAACGAGAAAAATCTCTTGAGGCAAGAATGCAGGAGGAGATCAAGAGGCAAGTGCAGCTAGCAATGAGTCAAATGCAATCGCAATCAACGCCGGGAGTCACCATTAGCCCCGTTGGTCAGATGAAAAGCGGTTGTGCTTCTACGAGCTGCCGAGTTATTCAAGGCAATTACTGGGTTGCGCTCCTGTTGATGACATTACCGAGCCTCTAACAACATGTGAGCTGCACATTCTAGATGGTAATAATGCATCAATCATGGTGGTTTATCGGGTTGTATCTCCAATAGACCCGACGAAGACACGAAGAATCCATGGGTCGGTTATTCAACTTTGGATTTGCTAGCGTCTCGATCGATAGAGCGCTCAAAGGTTACTGACAATGTTCCTCTTGACATTGAAGGCGGTGATGGGGAGAAGACACTAGGAGAAGCGGAGAAGACATTTATTCAATGGGCAAAGCGCTTCATCATCATTCTGGGCGCCACCGCTTCCCCTACCTCACCCTAGGTACGAATGAAAGTGAATGAAATATTATTTTCATTAATTTTCTATTGGCTTCAAAAATAATTGACACACAACTTGTTTTTGTAGCAGGTCTCCCCCACCTAGCCTAATCATTCATTCCCCATCTCATCACACAGTGCGTCTTGGGGCGAGACGACTTCATCCCCACGGCGATCGCCAACTCCTACACCGCCCCATCGCATCCACAGCGATCTCCAACTCCTACACCAGCCCCACCGCCTCCTAACGATCTCCAATGCCTCCACGCCGGTCTCCACCAACACCGGCCTCATCGCCTCCACACCAGTCTCCAACACCGCCCCACCCCTCCACAATGACGCACTACAAAGGCGTCTAAGGTCCCGACGGCAAAGAAGACCCAGAGAAAAGAGTTATTTCTCAAGAAATACTTCAAAAAACCTGACGAGCAAATAGCAGCGGTGAAGAAGACAAAAAAGTGAAAGATTTTTTTTTATAGATATAAAAACAAGAGTCAAGCGAAGCTTAAGGAGAAGCCGTACTTTTACATACCACGAGATGTCTTTGAGAAAGGGAAGGTCGATGCTCACAAGAAAAAGATGATTGAACTTCGTAAGCCTTCGCCACTATCGGACTATGACCGCTCCCTCATGAAGTCACATGATGCGAGATAAGAAAAGTAAAAGAGCATCGGGGAAGGATGTCTCACAGATTTCGGACAATGAAGCAACCAATGCAAAATCTTGTTGTTGCTAATGAATATGGTTCCAACATAGAAGTCTATCGACGAGACAACTCTGGAGAAGTGTCGGTTCAAGCCCTTAATGCTTTTTTTGAAGATACTGGTTTAACCTTGGATCAATTGACGGGCAAAGCTCCAATCCAGAACTTGGAAGTTGATACGGAAGACTTATAAATATGGCAAAAGTCTGTACAACCCTATGACTCTGAATGAATTGGAGTGCATAAATGTACTTGCTCAACAAGTGGTACATGCAAAGGCGGTGTGGCGGGTGAGCAGTGGATCTTTGTCGATTTAGAGACCATCATTACTTACGTGGTGATGACATCTTACATATTAGATTGAAGAATTGCATCAACTATACCACTTGGACGCTCTGGACAAATCAATCATTAGCTCCTTTTGTTTGTAAGTGATTCTTACTTTTATTTAATAAACTCACTTCCATAAATGCGTGTATATAATTATCCTCACATGTAACTTATATTTATATCTGATTCCGGATGTCGAGCTCCAAAGAATACAAGACACCAGTGTTGGCTTCATTGATCCTTATATCGTATTCAAAACCGGTATTATTATCAAGGAGCGGTGGGTATCTGAAGCACAGGAGAATATCATGATGTTCTTCGTGAAGCAGCACGACAAGACAACAATACTTTTCCTGTACAACTTTGAGTAAGTGTTAATAATAATGTAGTCTACACATTTTATGTAATATCAATACAACTTATATGCATGTACGTGTGTGTATAAACCAATGCAATTTTCACTGGATACTCATTGTCATTGAGTTAAACTCAAGTCGGTTAGTAATCTTTGACTCGTTGAGAAAAGAGCGGGCACTATATCAAGATATGATAGACATTATCCAGGGGTAATTTCGATCTCTCGCGCACAACTATTATTGAATAGAGTTTGCCATAATTTATTAACGATAGTACATTATTGGTCGCACAGGGTTTGGAAAGAGTTTATTCGGCAACATCGCAAGGATTGCAAGGCACCACTTAATGTAGTTGAAATATCAGTAAGTTGTACTATATACACTTCCCCACGTGTTTAATTACTATATCGTACTTCAATTTACGTGTGAGATGATGAGAATAATCTTCTTCTCGTACAGTGGTGTTTGCGGCAGCAACCAGGTAATAACTTGTGTGGATACTACGTTTGTGAATTTATCACTGCGCACATAAGAAGAACTCCTAAAGATGTCCTCAGAGTACGTATATATCAATTTTTTATTTATTTTTAAATGAATATATATATATATATGTATTAATACTTTTTCTTTTATTTTAAATGCAAGACTGAATGGTTGAAACGAAGGGTCATGCAAAAAGACCATCTGAAAGCAGTTCAAGAGTCAATAGCATGATTTCTTCTAAAAAAAAGTGCTAAATCCCAACGGCGAGTTCTACTTTGATCCTAAGGAATAAATGGTGTAAATTAAATGTTTATTGATATCGTTATTTTCGAGAACAAGATTATGAAAGTGTTGTATATATACATATATATATCTATAATATATATAGGTTCATACTTTATTCGAATATAATAATGCTCGAGATGAGAATTAGATGTAATTATATGCGTGCGTGTATTTATATTACCAGCGTAAAATACGTACATAAAAACATATTATATATTAAACAAATACGTTTAACTGAACTGAAAACAAATTAAACAAAAAAAAGAAAAAGAAAAGAAACTTTTAGTCCCGGTTGGGGTTACCAACCGGGACTAAAGGGTGCGGCCACGTTTGCTCGGCTGGAGGGCCTTTAGTCCCGGTTGTAACACCAACCGGGACTAAAGGACCCTCTTTAGTCCTGGCTCGATGACCCGAGACTAAAGGTGGCACCTTTAGTCCCGGGATCGTTGTCCCGGCGCGGTAACCGGGACTAAAGGCCGTTACCGCTCGGGACAACAAGTCCATTCTATAGTAGTGAATGGTCCGCTGTACCTCAGCACTTTCTTTGCCGTCACCTATGGTGTCGGTTTCGCATCCCTTACCGCGACGATTGTTCATGTTTTCCTCTTCCACGGAAGGTGAGCAAGTTCTTCTGGAGTTCCTCATTCTGCTAAAGAAAACACAATAATGAAGTTAAGAATCATGATGTGCTTGTGTGCAGTGAAATTTGGCAGTTAAGTAAATCAGCTTTTCAAGAAAAAAAAGGTGGACATACATACAAAGCTTATGAGGAGATATAAGCAGGTCCCGGAGTGGTGGTTCATCTCCATCCTCATTGCTAACATTGCTGTCATCATATTTGCCTGTGAATACTATATTGAGCAACTCCAGCTGCCTTGGTGGGGTGTTTTGCTTGCATGTGCCATTGCATTTACCTTCACCCTCCCAATTGGAATAATCACAGCGACAACGAACCAGGTACCGGTTTTTTAACACTCCGTGCATATTAGCTGAAGAGCGCAAGTTCAGACACTTCAGCTTCTTTTGCTGTATGCAGACTCCAGGCTTGAACATCATCACAGAGTACATCATGGGGTACTTATACCCTGGACGGCCAGTTGCAAATATGTGCTTCAAGGTGTATGGTTACATCAGCATGAGTCAAGCTCTGACCTTTCTTCAAGATTTTAAGCTGGGCCACTACATGAAGATTCCCCCAAGGACCATGTTTATGGCTCAGGTAAGCTATACTAGCATCTCTTCGGCACAGATACCAATATGGCTTTGTTTTATAGTGTCACTAAACAGCATCTTGTAACATGATAGGTGGTGGGAACTTTGATTGCAGCATTTGTATACCTCGGAACAGCATGGTGGTTGATGGACACAGTCCCGAACATCTGCAACACCGAGCTCCTCCCATCAGACAGCCCTTGGACCTGCCCCGGTGATCATGTGTTCTATGATGCATCAGTTATCTGGGGTCTTATTAGCCCGCGCAGAATATTTGGCGACCTAGGCACTTACTCGGCGGTGAACTGGTTCTTCTTGGGTGGAGCTATTGCCCCCTTCCTAGTATGGCTTGCACACAAGGCATTCCCAGGCCAGAGCTGGATCTTACTCATCAACATGCCTGTATTGATCGGTGCCACCGGCAATATGCCACCTGCTACTGCAGTCAACTACACCACATGGATACTTGTTGGATTTTTGTCAGGTTACGTGGTTTACAGATATCGGCGTGACTGGTGGGAGCGACACAATTATCTGCTTTCTGGTGCACTAGATGCTGGTTTGGCATTCATGGCTGTCCTGATTTACTTATGCCTAGGCTTGGAGAACATCAGTTTGAACTGGTGGGGCAATGATTTAGATGGATGTCCTCTCGCCTCTTGTCCAACTGCCAAAGGTATTGTTGTCGAGGGCTGCCCAGTGTATACATGAGAACCCATGGTTTGACCTGGGGAGAAGAGAACATGACAAGTGAAGAAGTGTGCGAAGTTTTCAAACAATTTAGAGATGAGAAATTGGTGTTATTTTTATTGTATTTTGAAGAGTTATGAAGATTAATAATAATGTTCAAGTAAAATGGGTAGTTATGGCCAAATCAATTACTATTCCAGCTTGGAAAAAAGTCATTCCATGTGTCGGGTATCGATATTAGGGATGCCCAAAGCAAGGAAGTTAGCGCCCGCGCTGACTTCCCCGGATAGCTCAGGACGTATTAAAAGGTCTCGTCCGACCCCTTGGGGTGCGGGCTCTGTCTCGCCTGACCTCAAGGACGCGGGTTCTGTCTCGCCCGACCCCTTGGGTGCGGGCTCCTTCTCGCCCGACCCCAAGGATGCAGGCTCCGTCTCGCCCGACCCCAAGGCCGCGGGCTCCGTCTCGCCCGACCTCAACGACGCAGGTTCCGTCTCGCCCGACCCCTTGGGTATGGACTCCGTATGAAAGGTCCTTGTTTGGTTTTGGTAATTGAGTGACAACCTAGGTGGACTAATTGTGTTTATTTGAGATACACAGGTGATTAGTCCACAGGTACATGTGTGTGAGCAACATATGCTATGGAGGTGAAAATGGCTCGGAGATGTTGCAAAGCTCACACATGTGATGATGAAGGAGCTCATCGCACATGAGACATGACATTGAGTCATGTGATCAAGGTGGAGAAGATCAAGACATGACTTAGCTTGATGGACCGGTTGCAAGCGTGAAGGGCAAGTTGAAGGGTTTGAAGCAATGGACTGCGTGACGGTGAAGCTTGAGCAAGACTTGGCGCCGATGGACAAAGGCAATGGTGAAAAGCAAGTGAAGTCAAGATCGATGAACCAATATAATCACGTGATGATATGAAGTGGATCATATCATTATTGATCGTGTTGGTGCATGTGTTGCATCGACATTAAAGTAGATGGAATGAAATGCACAAGGCAAAGGTATAACTTAGGGCATTTCATTTCACCGGTCATAGGTGTGTAGATAAGTTGATGACCGGGTTTAGGATAGATGATCGTACTATCAAGAGGGGCAAACTTGTTTGCATATCGGTCATCTAGTGCCACTTGAGTGATCTAACTTTGCATCGTCGCTAGGATCGAGTGGCGCGGCAAGTTGAGTGGCTAATCCTTTAGAAAATGTTTGTGAAAAGCTAACATACATACACATGGTGGTGTACACTTGATGGTGTTGGCACTTTTGCAAAGGAGAAGAAGTTAGAGTTGATGTGGGTCAACTCGGTGAAGAAACGCAAGAGAAAGGTGATACACATTGTGTTTAGCACTTGGGAGCAAGGGTTCAAAACTTCACCGGCGGAGTGTCCGCCCGTAGAGTGCGTACAGTTCGACGGTGCCATCGGCGCCCTATATAGAAAAGACAGGGTTTCACAGAGTGCACCGGACGCTGGCCTCAACTAGACTGGAGCGTCCGGTTAGTGGAAGCGATGAAGATCTTTGGCGTCGGTCTTCGACCGGACGCTGGGTAACTTCGTGACCGGACGCATGATGGGTGCGTCCGGTCCCGCTGACGTGGCAGCACAGAGAAGAGAAAGGACCGAACGCTGATGCTGCGTCCGATCATGACCGACCGGATGCATCCAGTCGCAACTGGAACCTTACTGGAAGTGATCGGACGCTGGGTCCTATGTCCGGTCATACACTGTAGTGCATCCAGTCTTGGCACTGTGCTGCGTCCGGTCATCACTTGAACGTTGAGATCAAGCGACTGTGGTTGAACGGAGGCGACACGTGGCGTGCATCCGTTGACCGGACGCTGGCAGGGTGCGTCCGGTCGATCTGACCGGAGCGTCCAGTCACCCCGAGCTGTGCCCAGTGAAGGGATACAAGCGGCTCTATTTTGTGTTGGCTATAAATAGAAGTGTTTGCCAGCTTTTGGCCGACAGCTTGGTAGAGCTGAGCACACTAGAGCCTTGGTGACTTATGTCGTAGTGCTTAGGAGCCCTCTAACTCACTCTAGCTTGATAGTGTTCATCTGATTGAGTGAGTGAGCGATTCTAGTGCGATTGCATCGTGAGGTTGCATCAAGTGGCACTTGGTGATCGAGTTGCAAGCCAGTGGTGCTTGTTACTCTTGGAGGTTGCCACCTCCTAGACGGCTTGGTGGTGGTCTCCGTCGAAGCCCGCAAGAAGCTTATGCGGTGCTCATGAGAAGAGCTTTTATGAGGGGCATTGTGCTCGCCCCACGGGAGCCACGAAGAGCAACTCTAGTAAAGCATGTCATTGAGCTACCCTCACTTCTGGGGTAGGTTCTTGCGTGTGTCGACGTCACGGACTTGGTGGGTGATGCCAATTAGCACCGAACCACCAAATGAGCAGTCGACACAGCGGGGACTAAGCGTGTTGACAAGCACGTGAACCTCGAGAGAAAAATCACCGTGTCAACATTATTCTTCCCGTTGGTTTGCAATCCCCTTACACAAGCTTGTAATTACTTTCATATACATTGTGCTTATGTAGTTGCTCTTGTAATTTGTTAGCTTGTGTAGCTTACTAGTTACCTTCTTGCTTGTGTAGCATAGACGTAGCTCCCTTGCATGGCTAATTTGATTTGTGTAACCTTGTTAGTCACATTGCTTAGTTTGTGTAGCTAAGTGTTTGCGCTCTCTAATTTGGCATTGGTTGCCTTGTTATTGAGCATTGCTAGTGAGCTTAGGAGCTTTGTGCGAGCTTTGTGCTTTTGCTTACTAGCATATGTAGGAGCTCCCTCGTTGCTTAAAGTACTAGTGGCATAGGTTTATGTGACCTTGCTCCTAGGATTGGTTAGGTGAGCTCTAGCTAGCCCGACACCTTTGTTGCTTAATTAGGATCTTTGCAAGGTGCTAGAGAACATAGATAGAGGGGTATAGTCTTGGCTAGACCGATAGTTTTAATTCCGCACTTGTTTCTATTAGCCGGCGTAATTAAGTTTTAGTAACGACTATTTCACCCCTCTAGTCGCCATCTCGACCCTTCATCGTCTCGTTCGACGGGGACCCATACCGCCGCCAACGACTCCAGGTCTAAGCGTATTGGCCTGGGTCAAACCTCTGACACCAGGGAAGAGGTTGGCATGCCTCAATGTAACCCGTGGCCATGACGGGGCATACCTGGCGATTTACATCAAGAACAGTGTCGGGCATGCTGGTACTATTCTGCCTAATCCTCGTATAGATACTGATAGGCGAGTTAGTTCACCACGATGTCCGCAGGGATGGAGTGGAACGCCATGACCGACAGATGACGCCTGCGCATGGCGCCAGTGACGAACATGGCCACGACATGGAGCCATCCCTGTTGACATCTATAGGATCGGCGGGACCCACATGAAGGAGAAGAAGGACTCCGTGATCCTGGAAGCCTTCTTCTCTCTCTCGTTCTTCTCCTTTTCCTCCGCTGTAACCCGCGTTTTCCCTTCACCTATAAAAGGGGAAGCAGGGCGCCCCATGAAAGGGGATGAGATTTAAACACAAGAGCACGGCACGAGCACATGGCTGAGTGGCAAGTGAGCTCTCAGCACCCATTCACTCCTTCTACCAGAGACTTGGGATCCTCTCCCTCTCTCGCCTGTTTGTAACCCCAACTACAAACCAAGTGCCGGTAACATGAGCATCAGTGAACTGGACGTAGGGACATTCCGCCCGAACCAGTATAAACCCTTGTGTCCTCGGAGCACACCATCCGAGCCAGACGCGCAAATACAAATTTACTCGTCGGTGGTCCGAAAACACCGACAGTTGGCGCGCCAGGTAGGGGCTTTTTGCGCGTCTCGACGTCCACATCAGGCCTCGGATGGCTAGTCACGGCGTCAGCTAGGTCCTAGGAGCGCACGTGCGCTTTCGGAACCTAGACTTCATCATTATGACAGAGGGAGAGTTGGCGGAAGTTCAAGTCGCCGTCCAACCTCTCCACTCCACCAGCCTCGACGTGATCGTCGAGGTGCTTGAGGAGCTGCAGCTGCATGTGCTGGAGGCCCATGCCCTAGGGAGCGACCAGCTCCAAGGCTTCGATTATGGGAGGCTAGAGTGCCAGCTCGGCGCCTTCCTAGGACCCCGACCGTCCCGGGAGGACCTGCGCCGCCTCACCTTCTCGTTCGCCAACGTCATGACGCAGCTTGCCAGAGGAGAGCCGCTCTCCCTGGAATACCTCATCCAGAAAGCCCCGACAGCACTCCCGTCCGGTCTCTGTAACGCCGTAGAGACCGTTGGACACCTTGTGGCCCAGCGCACGCCCCATCCCCTACGAACGACGAGTTTGTGGGGATGACCGAATACGTCGTAGAATCTTTCCACGACCTCCTTGCGGGAGAATCGGAGTCGTCCTCCAACTCTGACTCTAGCAGGGGGAGCCATCACCCCTCGCGAGAATGTTTCGTGGCAGGTACCCACGAGGGATACACCGAAAGCATCCATGAGGGAGGGGCTACCCCAACAGACGACCTCGACGACGAGGTCAAGGGGGATGCAGGGGCCCCGCCTCGCCTGCGGGTAGAGCAGTTGAGGGCGCGACACTAAGAGCTCAAAGAAGCATGACTCTAGCTCAAGTAGGAGCGTCGGAGCTCGGCGAGATCGAGCACCACGGAGGCGGTGGGCGGCGCGTGCCGTGGCCCCGACGTGAACCAGAGGATCATCTAGGATGACGAAGCCCTCCCACACTTCACCCGGGCAAGCCAAAGCGTCGCTGCCGTAGTGGCCTTGCTCCGAGGGCTTCGAGCCGCGACACCCGAGGATCATTGGGCCCATCGCGAGATTCGTGACGATACTCGAGCATCCGGCGGCAAGAAGAAGCCGAGAGCTCGTTGTCCCGACAACGCGAGCTCGGACGCCACCTCACGACGCCCTCAGCGACCCAACAAGGGCGTGTTAGTCCACTAGGCTCGGCGGCGAGGCGGCAGCCGCACACCGAGGTCCGGTGCTTGAGCGTCTCGGCCTCCATCGTGACGCGCGTGACACCCTGG